TAAAAAAAAAAAAAAAAAAAAAAGGAAAAAGAGGGTATCCAGAGCTCCAACTCATACTCTTCCTACTCTTTCTCTTTCACGGGCTTCTCTTTCTTTCCCTTCCCTCCCAACCATCATCCTTTCCGTCTTTCTTCGTTTCCCTTTTCCTCCAAATTTCTTTTCCTTGTTGTGCCCTTCTTTTATTTCTTCTTGCTTTTTTTTTTTGTTTTTCTGGTTTTGTCACTCCTCCCTTGGGTGTCAATTATTTCACCCTTTCGAGGTCCATCCTCTCCCGCGACCCATTCTTTTTTTGGGGTTTGGTTCACTTCCCGCCGAGCTCTTCATCTCCCCTCGCGCCGCCCCCTGTCAGAGGGTCGACCTCCACCAACGACCACCCCTCCTGCCTCTTCTTCAATTCTTTTCCTTCAAGTCGATCATGCTTCTCGGCGCAGCCTACACTCTGCCTTGTCAATTCGTCCAGCAGTGTTGAGCCGGTGAAGCGCCGTGGAAAGAAGACTTTCGCGCCAATCTCGACTAAGTAGGAACGAGAAGTGGGCTCCTGGTGGTTGAAATCGCGTCTCCCGAGGTTGCTTCTCCGCCCGCGTTTGTCGGTCTCGTCTCCGGAGTTCTCACATTCTTTCGAGCCGCAATCCACCCTTAACCATATTACCCAACTGGGTAGTAGATAGTCGTGGAGAGACGTGATTACGAGAGGCAAATCTGCAGTGCAGATATACCCTACTTGTCTGGCTTTGTGGGTAAGAAAAACAAGGATTTCTATAAAATTTGGTGAAAAGGGAAAACGTTGGAAGATCATCAAGTGATTGGTCCTCTTACGCGCGTGCTGTCATTGCTTCTGTTAACCGGTGGACTTATTGACCTGGTGTCCTCGATAAACCAACAATTACTTGGATTGCCCTTTGCCTGTGATTTCTTTCTGAATTGTTTCGCTGGCGGTTGTCAGTCATCACCCTTGACACCCCTTATCGGTTGCTCCGACCATCGTTGAACTAACTCAAAACAATAGCTTAGGTGCCCGACCGAACGGACCAGCAGCTAGGACCCAAATCTAGCGGACAAGTTTTTTTAATTGACAAAAAAAAAAAGGGGAGAAGGAAGACGAAAGAAAACAAAAAATCGCAACCCTCTGGAGGGCTTTGACATATCAAGTTCCAACCGCCGATCGCAATTGGTCGGTCAATCAAAGTGAGGTGATCACTCAAAACTCTGTGTACGCGCTCGGAGAAGCTGTCTCGGACCGTAACGCAGCATTCCCCCTTAGGCACTGCGGCGCCTTGATTAAACGAGGTATGTCGCCTGCTATGCAAACGGTTCCTCATTTCACAGCAGTCCACCCCACCACTATTACTTTTTCACATTCCTGTCCGAGTTTTGTATCAACCTTACACTCCAGTTATGCGTCACGTCATTATTCAAATTCCCATCCCGGGTCAATGCAGCAGCCGTGACTGTCACATCACACATCCACAGGTGTCATGAACAGTGCGCTAAGTTATCAGCAGCTATCTTCTGTCCTGGCCTCGACAGGTTTCTCGGCTATGAACGACCTCCAATCGCAGTCCTTACCACACACTGCTCATGCATCCCCAGCCCTGACCTCGGCGGCGCCTGCGACCGCCCAGAACAACCACCGATCGACCGTATACCCTGACATTCTCGGTGCACCGCCAGTTCCACCACCAAGGACATCATCAACCCAGCGGAGTCACGGCTCAAGCGAGAGGGTCCCAGGGTCGCGCCACGGGAAGAGCAAAGGTGACGAGCGGAGCGCAAACCACCGCGAAAAGAGAAGAGAGGACTCGCGGTCCCGGGCACCAGCCCCGAGAACGTCCGAAGACCAGTGTGGAGGAGCAGGAGGGGTGAACAGTCGAAGCCAGGCAGCTTCGTCTTCTGCGCCTATGCGCTCGGAAAACCCCGCGGAGACGTTCCCGGGCCAAGGGGCCTTGGTCAAAGAGTCGAGCACATTGATCAATCAGGTCTTAGTGAGCGACCCCTCGGTGGACATCGAGCGAGAACAGGTCCGACAAGCTGGTACATCGGTATCACCGTCAACCGACGGTACTCCAACCCCTGGGCTGGGCTTGGTGGGTAGTGACGGCGTGGATGATGGAGGTCGCGGCGGGCTGCGGAGTCGGCATGATTACAGCGATAATTCGATCAAGCGGAAGGAGACAACATTCGGTCAGTACATTTTGGGGCAAACGCTGGGAGAGGGTGAATTCGGGAAAGTGAAACTGGGTTGGAAGAGGGATGGCAGCATCCAAGTGGCTATCAAGCTGATCCGGAGGGAGTCTCTCGGATCGAACCCCAGCCGGCTGCCCAAGATCTACCGGGAAATTTCGATCTTGCGCGATCTTTCCCATCCCAACATCGTCCGATTACATGAAATGGTAGAGACCGATAAGCACATCGGTATCATCATGGAATATGCATCTGGGGGCGAACTTTTCGATCATATCTTGAATAACCGGTATCTCAAAGACAATGCTGCTCGACGTCTCTTTGCGCAGTTAGTATCTGGTGTCGGTTACCTCCATAAGAAGGGCATTGTCCATCGAGATTTAAAGCTGGAAAACTTACTGCTGGACCGAAACCGTAACATCATCATCACAGACTTCGGTTTCGCGAACACCTTCGATCCGGTGGATGAGCTAGGCGAGGAGATCGAATATAATCTTACGAACAAGGAGTTTGTAAAGAGGATGCGACTTGACAAGCCCAATGCCAAGGGCTTAAGGCGTGGTGATTTGATGCAAACCAGCTGTGGAAGTCCCTGTTACGCTGCACCAGAGCTTGTTGTTAGCGATTCGCTTTATACCGGACGTAAAGTGGACGTTTGGAGCTGCGGTGTCATCTTGGTAAGGACCCAAGCCGCTTGCAATTTTCCCCTTTTTGTCTGTAATCCACCCTACGCGTTGAAGAAGCTAACATCTCCGCCTGTCAAGTATGCAATGCTTGCCGGTTATTTGCCATTCGATGATGACCCCGCCAACCCGGACGGTGATAATATCAACCTTCTCTATAAGTATATCGTCACGACGCCTCTCACGTTCCCTGAGTACGTGACTCCACATGCTCGTGATCTCTTGAGACGGATATTGGTCCCAGATCCGCGGAAACGAGCGGATTTGTTCGAGGTCGCACGGCATAGCTGGCTTAATGAGTACTCGCATATTGTGTCACACATAACTAGCAGTACAACCAAGGTTGCTGATATTGCTACTACAACTGTTTCTCATGGTACGGCGCTCTCGGGACGTGTACACTGTTTACCTGCTAATTTTTTGTTTCGAACAGAACAACCTAAAGAGGCCCCATCTCTCGGACGCAGTGCGTCGGTTAGAGAGCCTCCCAAAACCTACCAAAGCACAGTTCCCGCTCTGGGTGGTCTTGTTCACCACGCTGGCAATATCTCACAGGAACAACCTGCAGAAAGCTCTAAGACTCCCCGGGACACGAAACGGAGGACCGTCCAGGTCGAATATGTTGCTCCTTCGTCTCAGACTACGAGAGGGGAGGGCATAGGATCAGCCACGACGGGCCCATCGAGTGCTGCTGAAACAGCTGAGCATGCGCCCACTGGAGCAAGGTCAAATAGTCGAGATGCCGAGACTGTCTCGCCTACCAGTGGCGTACCGCAAGACGCGCCTATGGCGCCGAGCGCACATGCTGGAGACTCAAAGGCACAGCGCCCGCCATCTGGGCATTTGCCTCGCTCAACTTCGGACTCGACGGCGCTTACGGGAGCGGGGACAATGCCCCAGCCGCATTCCATGCGGCCTACCACAGGTGCATCCATGTCTTCATTCAATACTGGTCGTTTGCCATCGCGAGGATCCTACGGACAGCCCGTAGCTCCCACTGTGGCGGCAACCAATGCCCATGGTCGGCTGGCACAACCAAAGAGCAAACAATATGTCATCTCGAACCCCATCCCCCAGGATCCCTCTCAACAGGCAGCAGTGTCGATTGGCCGTCCGAGCACCCAGGCTCTTCCTGCAAAGTTCAATACAACCCCCCGACAAGAACCCCCGAAAGGCCACAAGAGATCAAATACTGTCTCGGGGATTGGCGAGAAATTGTTTGGGCGGTCTGGGTCCATTTTTGGAGGACGTGGTGGGCAGGCAAATGCTCGTCAAAAAAGCGGCAAACGTTATCCTCCTACAAGTATGAGAGACCCCTATGGTGGTGATATGCCCCGGATGTCTATGGATTCACGGCGGTCCATGCAATATGGATCAAACCGGAAGACGAGTGAAACAGGTGGCGAGAGTCGGCCTCGTAGATTCTCCCTCTTGCCGGCATCATTCTCTCTCAAGGGTCTTTCTTCGAGTAGGTCTCAAACGCCCGATGAAGAGTCACAAGCTGATCGCTCCACGGATAATCGGGCACAGCCAAAACCATCAACCGGGGATCTACGACCCCGCGCACGTGCGACCAGCCACGGAACGCAAGATGCAATAGGGGCCATGCCAGAAGGGGCACCGGCAGATGAGGTTTTCGTCCAAGATGAGCCCATTAACTACCAGGCCCGTATTGATGAGCAGTTTGCGGTGTTGCATGGAACCCAATCTGCGACGTATCAGCCAACGTCCTACTCGGCTGAGCAGGTGTACCAGAACGACAATGATCACTATTATCGGAACCAATACGCCAATCACTCAACACCAAACTACTACGAAGAATACAATGGTCCATATGACAGCGCGCCTCGGCAATCTACGTCAGTTGCCCGACCTACAAGAGGGGCCGGTGTCCTACAGAAAAATCATCGAAAATTTGCCGATGCTTATGAGTACGAGCGCGATTCATCACATCACTCTGGCAGCTCTGGTGCAGCCAGGAAAGTGATGGATTTCTTTCGTCGACGAGCGAAGTCGAGGGCTGGCGATGACCGGTAGATCAAGATCTTCTTTGTTTATTTCTTTATTTCTCTTCGACCAACTCGACAGGTTAACATGTCGACATCTTGGTGTGCCCATGCAACACCAATCAAGACAAACAGGCTATTCTGGTTGTTTGCTTCACCCCTGTATTCCGGGACTTGAATTTATGAAGAGGTCCAACAACACTTGACACATCCCACCCGTTGCCGAGACGCCGTGTCGTCCACACAGGACTTTAGGGCTTCCGCACGCAAGATGGATAAAGGCCCATCTCGATTCAAACATCACACTTGGAAGGACGATTTGAGTCGAGCAGGCTCTTAGATTCCCAACAATAAAAGAGCAGAGAGGCTATTTGGATACCCCATGATACCCAGCAGCTTTCGTCCCCTTCCGTTGCAACTATCGGTTTGTCCTCTCTTGTACCAGCAACCTTTTGTTCCCGCATACATATCCATGTTTAGCCTTTTCATTTTATTTATTTTATTTTTCCTTTGTCAGAATAAATCTTTTTAGTTCCTTTGTTCAAATTTTGTTTCTTTCCCTGTTATTATAGCCCTGACTGTAAATTGATCCCGTCCATTTTCTTTCCATTTGAGGAGCTTTTTTGTTACTTCTTGTCTTCACTGTTACCAAGTCACGGTCCTCCTGAGAGAGGGGTTTTGATATGACACGGCGGACATCTTAGCTGAGCAGGACTATTTGAGGGTAATTTAATATGTTTACTATCCACTGGAGACCTCGCGTATGCGATTCATGATCGTATCCCCCAATTCCTCCATCCCCACCCTAGATATAACTTTTTTTTTATTTGATAGCGGTGACTACTTTTATAGTTGAGCATATGCATTGAGTCGGGGCTTATGCTGATCTGCTTCTGTAATATGGCAAATCCCCGCATGTTTACTTTTAGTACAGTTACATTAATTGGAAGATTTTGTGAATCCTATTTGGAGGTCTACACTGCCTAACACTGTCTCGGAAATCTATGAATAGATCCTCAAGTAATAAAACACCCGTTGACTGATTTCGCAACGGCGTTTATAGTAACTGTACAAACCCTAAGCGCCGAGGCGAACGGGGCGGAGCATGTGTTTTGGCCCCATATAAACAAATGAAAACAAGTCACAAGACCAACAGGAACCAACATGTATAACCAACGTTGGGTCCAATGTTTTGGTATAACAATCTTCCACAATAGATTCCACATGGCTTATTTCAGGCTCATTTATAATTCCATTGCTGGACTCGGCCGTTGGGGAAAGATGTCAGCCAAGAATCTCGGCGAGGAGAGTCTTCACATTGACAGGGGTCTTGAGTGTTCGGGCCATTTGCTGATATTTGTAGATTTAGGCGTTGATTGTTAGTTTTGGGATGTACATTGTATCTGTGCAACTGAGTGTGTATTGCGTTTGGTGGTTAGACTCGTTCTATATACTGTTGGGGTAAGAGCAAGGTATATTTGAGGCGGCGGTATCTGATTATGGTCATATATTCCTTGATATTAGACAGGCGGGTTGTGCGACCTATGGTGTTCTTGCTATCCTGAGTCTTCTGCACCTAAGCTTATTGAATCCTCAATTTATCTGGATAAGTTATTGGGGTGATCTTATTGGCAAAAAAAAAAAATATGTTCATGCTTTGATCTAACTAACAGAGTGAGGTTCTGGTTCAGTGATGCTCAGGAGGGGTTGATGACTAGATGGGGAGGAGCAGTGTTTCATCTATGGAGCTTTATCGAGCCATCCAGAAGTGATATAAGCTCACCAAAGATAATCCATGATGAAAAAACTTCTTCGGTATAGTTATGGAGCGCACTTAGATTAGGTGATATCGAAGGAGAGTATATGTGATTCAACCAGAAGTATTATAATAGCTAAATATATATTGTCGAACGGTGGTGCTCAGCTATGCGAATATCCAACTGAATATCTTACTAATATGTTCATCCACGGTCCTGCACTACTCAGCCGCCATGTATGTGGTAGCTACTGGTGCGTGTTACCTTCAGACGATTATACATATATTTGCTATCCCTGCATATCGACTGTCAAGGTGAGTAGGGAATACATATCCCCGAGGGTTATACTGACTCAACAGTCGGGGCTGATAACTAACAAACACCAGGGCTTAAGGTCTAAAGAAGATATCGATATCTTAGTCAATATAGCTTTCCGGCAGTAGCCGCTGGCTTATGACCCAGCTAAGCGTTTCAGAACAACCCTTGTACTTCTTATTATAGTGTTCAATCCCTTGCTAATCCGAGTATCTGGAGTGAAGAAGATCGCCTTAAGTGGGCGGATTTGTAAGATGTATTAGCTTTCTCAGTACCAAGACTGCAGTGGGTCTTTTCTAAGTTGTCTAACAGCTACTGGTCTGGCGTGGCTGGCGAGAAGGCAGATGAGATATCATTGTCTACCATTGAGTCTATGAAGCTGCGGAGACTAATTAGAAACCGTCCTCGAGCATCCGATACCTTAAATCTGACCAATCTTTTAAAAAGATTTTAGCGTAAGTTGGAGCAGTAGAAGTAAGTAAGTCAGTAAAAAGAACAGATACACAAATGGAAAAAGAAAAATAAACTATGATGTTATCCTGCAGTATATACTATTTTACGGGTACTACTCAGCCCCAATCCCATGACCTCCAGACCCATCTTGGCAAACATGCAAGTACGAACCCTAAGTATGATACATCTGATCTGCGCTAGCCGATGAGCACAGCATGCCCACACGGACGTACGTATGCACTCGGTAGAGAATAATGTGCCACCCAGCTTATGCAGTAAGGATGTACATACACATAACAGCCAAGACGAGTAAAAGATAACGAATCAAGCATTCTTGCATAGTTATTTCGAGGGGAGGTTGGGTTACACCGACAACCCTCCATGGAAGAACGGGGGGGGTCTGGAAGGCAGTCGATCCTATCCCACAACCCCCACCTCCAGGTTGGCTTCGGCTTATCAGTGATAATGACGATGATGCAATCTTCGGTTGATTGTTTGCTTTCCCCCCCTTTTTTTTCGTCTTTCTTTCCGTCTTTCTCTCCTTTTCTTTTTCTTCCCTCGCCGATTTAAGGAATGTGCGTGTGGGTATTTTAACTTGGCGGGGTAAGTCTTTCCGCGGGAACGGCGACAATCTAGAATTTTAGGTTATCGTAATTAACTTATCGATTATTAATAGGTGGTGCGTGTCTCCTGGAAGATGAGGATCTGATGATCCGGACGGGTTGATTGGTAAATTCAGTAAGCTACAGTAAGCTTGAGATAGCGCTGGTGATTTTTCCCTCTTCGAGTTACTCCACGGTGGGCTTTTGCCTAGTTGGGGTTACGGAGAACGAGGACCCTGGGGGGGAGGATAGCTTCGTCCTTTTTTTTTTTTTTTTTTTTCTTTTCTGTCTTTACTTTCAAGAAGTATACGTGATACAAACAAGGGATCTTGGCAGTTTAATAGACGAAGTCGATCTTGAATCTATCATTGCTTGGCTGTGAAACAACATAGGGCAGCCTATTGATTTTCAATTTTACTACACAGGGCTTGGCAAGTATCAACATCTCCTTGGCAAACATTCCCTTCATTCTTCCCTCCAACCCACCCCCTTTTTCCCTGGCAGTGTGGTATCACTGATATGGTGAGGTAAAACACCGAAACAGAAAAAATCATTCAAAGAGATAAGAGACCATTTCGTAAAGAAACCGATGTTTGAAAACAATAAAGAAATGAAACCGCTAGTGCTCCTTCCCTTCGTCCGGTGCAGGGTGGATTTGGGCTGAGGCGCTTGCAGATGTATCGTGTCCAGCGCGATTGGTGAAGTGGGATGGCGTGTGCAAGCTTATGTGGCGTCAGAGTTTAGTTTCTCTCTTGCTCGTGTCCCAGGTAGAGGAAGCCACCGGGGAGAGGGGAGAAGGCACCCCTCAGCTGTGATCCGGTGGAGGCTGTGGAAGACTGGCTGCTGGAGCGTTCACGGGTTGGCTCCTTGCTCTCAACTTGGTCATTCATGGGACCAGAGTAGATGGGAGAGAGAACGAGGAACTTGTGGGTAGGAGTGTTGGTGTACATCTTCAAAGGTGAATCGGTATCTGGTAAACCTTCTGGGCTGGAAAAGAGATAAAGTGGAAGTGTAGATGGCTTTGAAGTCTTTGAAAAACACTGAAAGAGCTTTTGACTGAAGGAGAAGAAGAGGATAGAGATTGATCTGGAGAGATTTCTCGGTTGGACTCGGCTACCTATTTATACATGAGAGGGAAACAGCCAAGATACTCAAGAGGGAAGAGGGGTCGACAAGGTTCATGGATAATACCGGGAGGGACGTCGATCTGTGTCCATCCCACCTGCAGAGATAGTGGAGAGTCTTAGATTAGAGAGGTCGAACATCCCCATCTGCTTCCCCGAGGTGGACCGGGACACGCTGTAATTCACATGTTTCGAACATTCTTTCATGTCTCAGCGGGGCAGAGGACGTCATTGTTGGAAGGTCTCCCCTTCCTTCGAGACTCTTGGCTCAGGTAAGACCCGGTGCGTTGTCGCCGATATGTGCATAGCTTACTCAAGTATCTGGGGGGAATCCCCAGTAACCTGCCAAGCCGAAGCTGGCCGTTCGTTGTGCAAGCTGAGGTGTTGTCCCTTGTACAAGCAACTGGGCCGATACGACCCGAAAAATCAGCCTCGGGTGATCAGCAACCAGGAAGCGAAGCCAAGAAACGTGCCGGAACTATTGGATTGCTATCGGTAATCGATAGGCTGAAGGGTCACTCTGCATACCCAGAAGGGACGACGGTGTATTGAATGTTTCTCTGGGGTTTGCCTCCCACATTCCTTATCAAGAGACTATTCAGGGCACATGACCCAACTAATGAGTCTCGGCCGCTTGGCAGCATGCTTGAAATGACACTTTTTCCTGACGCTTTCTAGAAGACGTGCGAAACGGTAAGTTAACTTAAGGGATAAGTTAACTTACCTAAGCAAGGAGAAGGGGGACGAGTTTCAGCTGGAGAAACCAAAGCTGGGGGTCTGTTTGTTTTGTTTTGTCGGCTGACTAAATGTACATACGGCCCTCTTCCAAAATGATGTCAGTAGGAATGATTCAGTATAGTAGAAGGTACAAGGTGAGTTCGCATTTCCTCCGTCCATTTGTGTCCATAGTAGGACCTAGATAGTATGCGATACGTGCTTCAAGACCTTTGGATATTCCAGGAGAAGACAATTTTCACCAACGCCCGTTGAATCTGCAAGAAATCAAAAACATTTTTGAAAGAACCTTTGATCATGAAATGGGGAAAGTAACTAGTAGCATAAAAGACAAAACAGAAAAGGAAAAAGAGAAAATAGAGTCCAAGTGAACAAGCGGCTCTCAAATCGCAGCGCAACACCATCACGTGCTCCAAACCCCCAGTTGCCGCAGGATAAACCCCAAACCCTCGGGGCCAAATAACTTCTTATTATCCACTATGTTCTGGCGCAAAAGCCAACGGCGGCTAAATCGAGGCCGTGCCTCTCCGTTTGAGGTGCTGATTGTCGCAGATTTAGCGCCCCCTGTCTCCGCGCCGTATCGCTCGACCGTCCACCATGTGGCGCGGATGCTCAGCGGCTCAGACGGCCAAATGTGACTGCGGTAGACTATAGGATGTTCATCTTCCCCCCCCAATGGATGAGCGCCGCAATGCGGTACGGTCGCTCTGAATTCGACTGTCACTCAATTAGAGTTGACCCCGAGCTTTCCAGCCTAGGTGGTCATGAAGAACACGAGAAATCGATAGGCGGAGATTTGTTGTCTTGTATTGCCGAACGCTAGACTAGCTGGTAGTGGAAATTCTGTGCCATCCATTATCACACCAACAGGGCATCAAATGGGGCCGTCATAAGGCAGGAACCGCATTATCTCACTTGATCCGAATTCCGAGGGCGTTGTGCTATCGTGCGATCCCTCTCAGACCTCCGAGGGTGGGAAAGAGTTCACTCATGTCTTGCAGATATCACCAACTGCGTTTAGCTTCTCTGCCCCAGGTATTGGTCAGTCCAAGGAACCAAGACCAACGTTCCTGTGATGGCTGTGCAGTTCTTGCAGATTATTCCCCTAGTCTGCGAGCCTTGACCCCGGTTTCGCCAATATGCCTCAGCGGAGCCTTATAGGTGCTCGTCCTTTGTTGATGTCGTTGGCAGATAGGTATATGCCCAGGAGCTGTGGCACCTCTGACTGGAGCAGGCGGCCCCATGTCTCAAGAATTACCGCAGTGACCTTCGGAATAGTGCCAGGCACACGGCTCGCAGGGTGGGAGACATGACTGGCGATGACTACCGACCTTGATATCGGGGCCGGTCAGATTGGGCCGTTGGGAGATATCCTTGACACTCCCTCCACCAACTGGGGCCTTGAGGCACACATGATAAAGAGATTACTGTGATAAGCCTAGTGATAAATCTAGGTAAACTACTGCGTGACATTCGTCAGATGCCCGTTAAGGAACAGTGTCTGGTTGCGGCATGACCCTCAAATGTGCAAGCACTGTTGGCTGGCTGCGAGAACTGATTTGATAACGCAATTGTTGGCTTTGTTCATTTGCATATGTGACCGGCCCTTCCCTGCCTGCTGCATGGGCCTTGTCCTGAAGATGATGTCAAGGTTTCTCCTGATGCATCTGCGGAAGTCTATTGAAGCTCCCAACAGGGCTACAATTGAAGTTTCGCTGACATTCTGGCCACCACAACTAGGGATCTCTCTAGTAAGAACTATCTTATGCCAACCCCAGGTGGAGACCACCTTCACACACTATTCGCATAGCCGCCAATCTTGTTTGGTGTTGGGGAAACTCCGTGCAGTAGTTCTGTGGAAGCACAATTTACCATTTGATTCATTCGTTGAAACCGTTTCTCCTGGATGTGATGTAGATCGCGTCACCAACTTCTCCGGCGCAATTCTCTAAATGTTCCTTTGTGGATTGGGGCGCAAAAAGAGAGAAAAAAAAGAAAAAGAAAAAAGAAAAATGGAAAAGGAAAAGGTGCTGTATCCGTAGTTGAGATCCTTGACTAACCTTGTTCTTACTTTCATTCTTCTGCCCTGGTTTTTTTGTTTTATTTTTTATGACCAGTTTTTATTTTATTATTATGATTTTTTTTTATTCTAAGCCTCCTTTGGTACCTTTTTTTGATATTTCTTGTAAATGGTGTTATTGCGGCACAGCTGTCCGCAGTCATTCTCTATCATTTTGGTACAAAGGCAAGACCAAGCAATTTTATTTAAGGTCCTCACAATCCGTCGAACTATCAGAACAACATCACAGCAGTTCTATCTCTCAGATTACCCTCAAAGCAAGATCGCTGAGCTCGACATCTTTCGTCCTCTCTGAACTCTATAAGTTGCTTGACCGAGTCGGCTTGACTGTCTCTATCTCTCATTAAACTCACCCTGTTCAGCTCGATCAACCTCAAATCTTCAAAATGTGCTCGCAATACTTCTACAAGTATGACTGCGGCTGTACTCACCCGGAAGGGGATGTTGTCTACTGCGCAAAGCGAGGAACATCCTGCACTGGCGTGAGACAGCAAGTCCGACGCCGTGAGGGCTACAACTGCCCTGCTCATGGTGGTTAGGGACCTAAGTAACTGGTAAGGGATCCCAAACTGTGGCGATCATTTCGAAAAGCCCTCATTGACAAATTCCAGAAAGGCCGGGGGATCGTGGCACCTCAACCATCGTCTTTCAAATATGTGCTTCCAGAAGCACATCGAGCCCAGCCTTTGACAATACTACAGTGCTACGACACTCGGGTTCCTCCTCGAATTTTGTATTTTTGAAACACTTCGATGTTTTCAAGCGATCCATTTTGGAGATCACGGGAGCTTAATCGGGAACTAAGAAAAAGAGAAAAAGGAAAAAAAAAAGGGTTTCTTGTCTATTTGCCGTCTGTCAATACCATGAATGTCCCGGCTCGGCTTTTCTCTCATAGCGTACGCATTGTTCTGTTTTGTGGTTACTACTGGTTGCAAGCGCCTGTCCGTATCCTCCTGTTGTTTCGTTTCTGCGACGTGCCCTGCGAACTTACTACTGGGGCAAAGCTTTCTTATTAAAGCCACATTGTCGCTTAGTCCTTGTCCTTGCTGCGTCTTTTCTACTAAGGCATTTTGCTGCGCTGTATATCGAAGTTGTTCAACTGGAACCTACATATCTGATCTTATATTCTTTTCATGAGTTAAGACGAGGAGGATATGCTACAAGTAAGGCGTTGGACTCCTCCGACAGTATTTTCTGTTCACCCCTAAGTATCCAGGGAGTTACACAATGAAGTCACAAGGATCGACCTCTAGATACGATGGATCCATTCTATGGTCCCATCTTCCTGAAGGATTTTACCCGTCGGGCGTTGGAAGATCAATCATACTAAAGAGGTCTTTGAGAATAGCCTTCAATTAAAACATCTCCGAGGTTGTATAGCTTCAAAGTCTCTACAATAATCCTACCGCAGTCATGGAGATGATCGAGGCGAATCCCAGATCCGTATAATGTATAACAGGAGAAATGCCTCACGACGTGTTTCCAGATCTATCGCTAACTTCAGTTGCTGAGCATTTCATGTGGAAGATTAAGCTTATGAGTCCCGGGTGCATATCATGAAACGGCGGACTTTCCCAGTCTCATTGTTCATTGCTGGGCACAGTGCGTAAATGACAAGAATGAAAAGGAGGCTATCCGAGGTATGAACAATGGGCGCCCGATTCATATTACTCACCTTCTGCCGGTTGCCATCATTTGCGAGTGAGGTGGTCCAACCGCTTCTACGGAGCAATTACAAACCCCAAGAGCTTGTCTTTCAGAAAGAAAATTCTTTCTTCTTGAAAGCCCACTCTTGGCAACTATGATTAGCAACGTATGTCAGCGGCTGCATTAGCACCGCATACGTCTCTCATCATCTGATTGCGGGCTCGTCGAATCAGATAATGAAACGAGGCACAGATGCCTGTTATCCAGTGGCGATCCGGATTGATTGAGAGCCAACGAAATCTTAGGGAAAACCGAGTCAGTGAGCGTGGTGTGTGTGCGTATATTAGGTTCTGGAGGATCATGTGTTAAACTGTCTTTGGGAAGTGATGCGCAAGTGATGGGTCAAATCCCGTAGTTAGAGACCCATAAGAACTTTGAATTATAAGACAGATGTTGAAGCCGGAGAACTGCTCTGCCGCGGATTGAGGGGCGGGATATTCTTCCTTCCAAGGTACGCACAAAGGACTGCGTTGTGTTCTGCGGACCCGATGCGGTAGCGTCGGCCCTTGTTGCCAGCCCACCGCAAGAAGCAGTACATACATACGTGGCGTTTCGCCTCTGTGCCAAGCAGGATTATCACCTTCTCTTGAAAGAAAAGCAAGATGAGGAGACTGCGGTACGACGTGCCCACTCAAGAGGGAAAAGACCTTGCCACAGGCGAACAATCAGACACCACGATGCAGGCTAGAAAGTCAATCATAGGGAGACTCCCCTTGTCAAGAGAGTCCTAGGGGGAGTGAGCCAGTGTGATTCACGAGTGGAAATCACCAATGATAGTGGTTAAAATCTTTGAATGTTGGGTACTAATCGGATGTGAAGTGGAACCGACGGATAGGTTCGAGGAGTCGAAAGGCAGGGAAGAGAGGAGAGGGGGGGCGGCGCTAGAGCAGGCTTGTTGTAGGCCCTTGTGGCCGGCAAATACGCTGTTCCAGGGCTCCCCCCATACGGCGCCGCAGAGATTGTGCCATCCTCTAATATGCCCCGAAATGGCGTCGGCTGCACTGGTGAACCAAAGTACTGGGTCAAGTAAACCTAAAGCGGTGTGAAAGCCGCGTGCATCGTAAAAGCCCTCCAGGGAGCTTACCAGAGATCCTTAGACTCATAAGAGGCGTCTAGGATATCCTTTATCATTGTACTTTGTGATTGTGGCCGGGAAACGCCATGGGAAGACGTCCATTGGGGATTTACAATGTCCTCAATGAGGTTACTGCTATATCACGTGATTGGCACGGGACGCGAGTTGGTCCGCAACGACTGCGCCTAAATTAATCACTGTGGAGTCTCGCATTGCGGCGCAATTTTACCACCAGCCCCGGTCCTCTCTCGTCCAAGCGATTGTTCGCTTTCATATACCTACCCCTCTTTCGCCCACTTCGCGCCGAATAATTGCCTGCTGCACATGTAATGTCAATCGAAGTTGACTGGAGGACAGCCACCTCTGGGCCGGACGGTGAGGCTCTGGCCGAGCGAATCCGCTCCTTCATCCATGAAAAGTTCCAGCAGGTGGCCCTCCCACGTTTTATCCGATCTGTTCAAGTTCACTCGTTCGACTTCGGGACTATACCGCCTGACCTTGAGGTGAAAGATATCTGTGAGCCATTTGGCGACTTCTACGAGGAGGATGAAGATGACGAAACGTCCGATGTGTCTGAGGAGCTGGTCTCCGGGCATGGCACCCAGTGGCACCGGGAACTCAACGAACCCCCATTTCACGAGGAAATGGCAATGAATCGCCCATTACGAGACCCATTCGATGAAGCCTTTCACTCATCGGCTTTGCGGTCACCAATGGAACACCTGAACCCGCACTTCCTTCCTCGTGCGGGCACTCCAGGCATCCCTGGCGGAACGTCTACGTTAGGGTACCACCTTATGTCCCTTGGTGGATTGTCGGGGACACAAACTCCCCTTGCTGCGGTCGCAGGTGGCACACCATTCGCAAACGGTTGGACCGACTCTGGAATGGGCGCCAGCAGCAGGGGCCATCCATCCATCTCCGGCACGGCTGCGGCGCATCCATCTCGCATGGAAGCTGATATCGACATTAGCAATCCTACCTCACGCCCTTCGACCTCTAGCACGCTTCCTTCTCATCCGTCCGCGTCCAATCAGCCCAGCGGTGATGCTACAACGGGAAAGGAACACAGACCACTCGCCGAGGATGAACATCTAGAGGATCCTATGGCTTCAGGGCATCCTCTCCGGCTGCCCCCTCGCATGCGCGAACGCCGACCTGAAGATTTCCAGGTTCTTTGCCACGCTAAATATGCTGGGGATGTGCGATTATCATTAACCGCGGAGATTCTTCTTGACTATCCCATGCCTAGTTTTGTCGGGCTGCCGCTGAAACTCAACGTCACGGGAATTACATTCGACGGGGTTGCAGTCATTGCGTACATCCGCAAACGAATTCATTTCTGCTTTTTGTCTGCGGAAGATGCGGATGCACTGATCGGGTCTGACCAGCAAGAAGCGAGAGGCCAGGACGATCGCCCATGGTCTAGTGCAGATCCGACCGCTTCCCCGAAGCGCCAGGGAGGCTTGTTGCAAGAAATTCGGGTTGAAAGTGAGATTGGTCGGAAAGAAGACGGGAAGCAAGTTCTGAAGAATGTCGGCAAGGTTGAGCGCTTCGTTCTAGCCCAGGTCCGTCGCATCTTCGAGGAGGAGCTGGTTTTCCCTAGCTTTTGGACGTTTCTTATCTGATATCACAAGCTTAACTGTATATTATCTGATGCTGGATATTCGAACCTGGGGCATTGATGTTTCCGATTGTATATTAGAACTACTACACTAATTCACGTGCTCCATCGGCATGACTTCCCCCGAGCAGACGCCATCATTAAGACTCTGACCTCCTACTTCCACTTTTCCTTTCCTCTATCCTGGCTTACTGCTTTGGAAGACTATTGAACCAATGGAGTCTTCCTGCAGCATACTGATGTAATTAGGGTTCAGTAACTTCTTTGTGTCGGTTTCGGCTTTTGATGGCAGCCTAGTGCCCCGGCCTTGCCATCGATGGGGATAATGAATGCGGTATGGCTGGATATCACTCTTCCAAGACGTATATGGTCAGTTGTTCCCCCTCATGGTGACATTTCCACAAAGATATATGCATGGCCTTCAAACCAATGGCAGGTTGAGGGTCTTTTTGGAATTGTGCCGAGAAGACGATGCACTATGGTGCCCAATGGAACAAAAGCAAAAGTTATCTAAGCCACTTTAATTATTTAGATCAAAGCTGGTCTTGGTTCAATAATATTACCCCTCATCCAATTTCGAAGGGTAAAAAGCTTGTCAAGCCCACTGCCGATGAGTTGTGCGCAACGTTTACCGGAACTGCATGCTAAGATTGATCGACATGATTAAGTTTTAGTGCCTGGCCCTAGGGGCTGCTTACTATACCAATGCCTTGACACTGAAGAAGAAAGATGTGCCTTCCGTGCTAGAGGTGCCCTTCGAGGGTGGACACGGTTTGCAGGTGCTCACCATCATGATCGTCGTGGGAAGAGGGATAATATTGTTAAGCTAGAGTTCTACGGAGTATATTGCCTCGCGTTCATTGAACGCACAGAAAATCGTTCTTTCTGGCCAGTATGACCTTAGAATGATTTCTTCTACACTAACATATCCGTCGGAAGCCCGCCACAGAAATTGAAAGCCCAGTTCTCGACTCTTGATGACAGCAGCTGGGTGGTGATGAGCGATAATGACGAGTTAGCAAAGAATATAGAGAAGGGAATTTTTGATGGGTATAATGCGAGCGCTTCAACTAGCAGCCGACCAGTAAAGAAAAATGCCACTGTTGACGGGTTCGACCAGGATGAGGTGATAATGTCAGATACGATGATCATTGGGGATGTGGAATTGGAAGCCATAAAGTTCGCTACTTTACGTGAGAAAGCCGCAATAGGTGGTAAGTTGTCCTGTGATGATGCTTTCCATCAAACTATACCCACATACACGGGCTCGGTTCATGCGACAGCCGAACTAAAACATGAATAGATACACTCGGCCTAGGATACAGCAATGGCAACCCGGAATTCATTTCTGTTACCCAGGCATTGGTCGATGCGAAAGCTATCCAACCCCCTGCTTTCAGCATGTGGATGGAGGAGAACCATGATCAGACCAATGTACCTGGTGCTATCTTTTTCGGTGGCGTGAACAAGGCTAAGTATGTCGATAAGCTCCATACGTTGCCGGTCATATCACCTCCAGACCTCAACAAGCTATTCCGTGTCAATCTTTCCCGACTATCCGTGGGGACAGACTCCACCACGAAGTCCATATCACCGGATTCATTTTCCACGGGGGCTGTCTTTTCTTCCGCCACTGACTTCATCGGTTTCCCGGAAGCGATCACGCAAGACCTGTTTTCCCAGCTTAACGTCACAGGGTTTTATGAAAATGGCCAGCCGATGTTCCTTGTGACAAGCCACCCGAGAACAAATTGGTAACTTTCCATTTCGGCGACAACTTTCAACTTCTCCCTCGACCCGTTCATAGCCGAGGCTCCTTCCGCCACAGACACCAAACAATATGAGGAAGGTTACTGCTACCTTAGCTTTTTGACGATTAAACCTGAACATAGTAAGGAGCTTGGCGGTGTCATAATTGGAGCCAATCTCCTCAAGCTGGTATACACAGTCTTTGACATGGGGAATGACGAAGTCTCTCTGGCCCAAAGACGCTGGGAGAACGCGCCTGATGGGAACATAGAGATCAAATCAGGGAAGGATGGCGTCCCAGATCGCACAACACAAGAGACAGACATGGCGGACACGGCAGACAAGCCCGAAAAGATATACGAGTCTACAGGATCGAATCTAGAATCAAGCAATGGGATGAAAGCCGTTATAGCGGCGGGAGCCGTCTTGTTTGTTGCCATGATATGGGGTTGACCTGATTAAGACGTAATTGTGGTGGAGGGGCTGCTTGTCAGTTTATAACCCGGTATAGCAGGTGTGAAGGCCACCCTCACACGATTGCTAGGGGGAAGAGGTATATACTGCCTTGGATTTTCACTTGCTTACTATGTCTTCTGTTGACGATGAAAATATGTGACTATCAATGCCATAACGAAGGAATGAGAATGACAGATAACTTGCATGTTTATTTCACCCTAACTCGATGGAGAATACACATGGATCCTTCAACATATAATATTTATAGATAGACAAAGCAAAGGTCTAGTCTCTCAAAGCTGGACTTGAAAACTTGTCTATATGATACCTTGCCATCATGCACACAAGCATACTTATACCCACCTCGGGTTAGAGTTTCATGGCAACGAACTGAAACCATGATTGGTTGTATCAACATACTTTATTTCTACGTGCTTGAGTCTGTATTATGATAATGGCTAAATCAATGCTGGATCTGCAAAGCGCCTTCGGTGCATATAAAGGGTTGTGTAGTGCATCTGGACCCTTGTTAAGTTAATCGAAAAGATGGTGCGAGGAAAGATAGAATTTGAATTAGCGTGATTGATAGTATGGCATTAGATTATACACTTCCCTGAAGCGGTGGTTCATGAATTTAACAACTGCTAGATGTACATGAAATAGTGGGGTTTTGACATAACAGGCGACTTTGGGCCAAAATAACAAAGGAACCATCCAAGGAGTTTAGATTAGAACGAGTAAAAGAAACACACGCAAATTCATCCAACAGGGTATACGTAAAACCAAACCGCCCAATCATCCCCGCCATGGCGACTGTCCTCGAACCAGCAAGGACTTTGTCTCTCCATACCGGAATCGAAGGAACTCCCGTTCTCGGCAGATTACAGTCCTCCTATAGTCACATCTCGATACAAGAATTTCAAAACAGATCATAGTCCATATGCGGTCCATCAATCCAGCCCCGTCACTTCGAGGGGCATGAAACAGTCAAAAGGGTACGTATATACCCTTGTCCAGATTATCGTATAAAGCTGGTGGTTCAAACAAAGCACACCTCCGTTGATGTACTGGCAGTTTGTTTGAGCACCAAATCATAGCGCGTGAAGTTAGTGGATAATAAAATCACGAACTGAGGCTCGGGCATTTCGCCCTCGAGCTAGTTGCTCGTTTTCATATACATCGTAACGGGGCAGAGCAGAGACCTCTCAAGAGAAGCCTCTTACCAACCCTTCTTGCGTGCAAACCGCTTGTTTAAGAGCATTAGTACCTTGGATACGTTGAATTGCACGTATTCAAGGTCCAGATCCTCAAGATTATCTTTCTGCATTTCTAACAGATCATCAAGCTTGAGATCAAGCTCCAGAAGCCCGCGAGCGCGACCTGTTCAACGCTCCTCGTTAGTAAACCATTAACGAAGAAGCTTTCAGATACCAGGGACAGAAAGATAGGGTTAAGGGCTGAAGTGCTTACCTTTGTAATGCAGGCTGATAACAAAAGTGCCTGGCAATGGGCTCTTGAACATAAAGTAGATATTGGCTCGCCGGTTCTCGGGGACATTGCTCTTTCGGATCACGCCTTCCTTCTCAAGCTGTTGGTGGGTAAATTTGTAAGGTCCGAGCTCTTGATGTTTCTGCTGCTTTCTCTGTTTCCCCTCTGACTGGCTACGGACATTGTGCAGGTAGGATTTGTATGTCTCCAACTGACCCACCAAATATGCGTTATGGTCACGAATTGTCGCAAAGACTTCCTCAAGCTTTTTGGTCTCGTCCAGAACCTTTTCTTTTAGAGATCCCAGGTGCACCAATTCCTGTTCAACTTCGTCTCGAAGCAGGCTGAACTCATCAGACCGATCAATGACACCCATTTCCTGTAGCTGACTCAACAGTTCCATGGTGCGAATACCTTTCCGCACCATGACGGCATCATTCTTCAATGTAGCCGCGGCCTCTGCGATGCGATCGAGTCGGAGCGGTCGGCGGGCGACTACTGAGTTTGGAGGTAGAGATCGCAGGATTTGGACAAAGGTTGATTTAGCTTCCATAAAGAATATCTCCTCCTGGGTAATGTCCAGGGCTGATGTCAAATCATCCACGGCTGCCTCCCATCGACTAAAGAGGGGAACAGTGATAGTCCTGTTCTCTTTGCGCGGAACTTGGGTCGGTGCTGTGCCGAGCTCGTTCAAAAGCTCATGTAGGCGCGAGTGTTGGTCTTGAGCAAGAGCCACACTGTGCTTCTCCAAAAGCGTGTGAGTGGCATACATCTCGTTTAGAGTGATCTGCAACTCCAGGTCGCGCTTGGAAAGGGCCACATAGTTGTCCATTTCCAGGCTCTCATAAAAATCCTGCACTTCGCACAGATCCAGCATGAATTTGTTAACGCGCTCCTTGTTCTGCTGAATGAACGGTTGTAGTTTAGCCATATATGGCTCTTTGGCGTACGAGGGTTTGTTTGCCAGGTTCTGGAGCATCTTTGCAATCAAGGTCAATGTACGTCGGGGCTTTTCTGTAGGAGTTGCATCGATCAACATATAAGACCGCGGGGTGACGATGGCGGGGTTGATGAAGCGAAGGAAAAAGAAACCTCCAATCAGGGTACAGATGGTTTGGTCCTGGGCATCAGGATATTTCCGTCGAGACAAGCTTCGAATCTGCTTGCAAATCCATCGGATACCGTAAGGTGTCTCATCTACCGAATCAATGATTGTTGATAAAAATCCATTGGCGATTTCCGTCAGTTTCCTCAACCGCGGTGCAATAATGGCTTGGACCTGGGCATTTTCTGCTGCAGCCTCTGCGGTAACGGATCTCGGCAGATCCGCCGGCAACGAGCCATGTTTCTCCTCATGTTCCATGACCATCGTTTCGTACACCTTCAGCGGGTTGATTTCCAGGTCGACATCGCGGTACTCAATCAATCGATTGATCTGGTCGGCCAGGACCTGTTTTAAGTAACTTTGACCAGGGCCACGGCGAGTATAAGTAGTCATCATGCGAGATACTGGGGTGTTCTGGCGCAAAAGCGAGGAGTATTCCGGAGTATTATCGAACTGGTAAGTGAGGACCGATTGGAACATGGTCAGAAGAAGATGCTCCTCACGACTTTCGTACTGATTACCGTAGATAGTGAACATGACCGTCTGGAGGAGGGAGTCGATTTCTGACATGGAGACGAGACGACATAGGTGGGCGATGTGGCGAGGTTCGGATTGGAGAAGGAAGAGCAGATTGCCATATTTCTGAGTCTTCTCGTCGTTGGGGAAGAAACCCTCTTGGGGATCAATGGCTTCGTCGAGGTGGCTCGCAACTTCATTTTGCTAGACACTATCAGCTGGGAACCACGATGATAGGCTAGCAATGGTCTTACCTCCTCAAGGGCCATACGGTTCTGGATAAGTAAGGCGATCCGCGAATCTAGATATCGTACATCCTTTTCCAGGACGAAGTTTTTCTTCGATTGTGTTGAGATCTTCGACTTGAGTTCTCGTAGATATTTTTGTGCTGTTGGAGGATTGGTTACAGATTAGCAGGATTCAGTGGTGGGACCAGATAGTCAACTCACCCTTCGCCAAATCATCTGAGATTTCCAAGTCTCTGTCCTTCGCGGACATCGACAGGTACAGCGCAGTGACTGAGAACCGCTTGGATTGGCGGAGAGACCGGGTATCGTGAGAAGACATTGTGTTCTGTCGCGAAACTGGCTGAAATGATGAGGAAGAGGACGTGGAGGTTCTGGAAGCCGGTTGCAGCATCGTAGCTACGGACATTATGTGTAGTAGGATAACGTTGAACCGTGTGATGTTGGGCGCACCAAGAGAGTGCACCAGACACGATATATACTGGTAGGCAACCAGCCACAAGGGTCAACCAAACACCTTCGCTAGCGGTCAATGTAGAAAGTCGATAATAGCCACGGATCCAGTCGCTGAATTTTCACGTATCAGGGCTGGTCATCTGGGTCAAGGCTATACGGCGCGATCGCTTGTAGGTATATCCCTTATCGTGCACGCTAAACGGTTGGTGGGTGGCCGGGGAGGGGAGTAGGGAGACGATGGCACAGGCGGCGGCAGCGTTTTCCTAGCAGTAAATCGGCAATTGCAAGACTATCGACAAATACCGGGTTGCATGTGTCGCTGGTTGATCAAGAGAAAATGAAAAATGAAAAAATGAAAAATTGAGGGCTAAGAATAAAAGGGTAAAATAAAATGTCGGTGGAATGCCAACGAGGGGTGGAGCGTGATCAACAGGAGACACGCCTTGACCAGACAGAAGCCGCCGAAAGGTATCAGGGATGTCGCGAGATTCAGAACGAGAAGCGGTCGACCGATCTAACTTCCGAGTACTGTGTAAGAGTAAGAACAGAAGGACGTTTAAAAAGTGGTTGATCAGGGAGAAGATGGGTTCAGGAAACGAAAAGTACCAGCGCCGAAGAAAAGTAGGGAGCGCAAGGCACCTGATGGAGATTAACGGGGGATAGTTTGGCGGAGGGGGGGGAAGAGGAGAAGGAGATGAGGCAGGAAATCAGGAACGGGTCCAAAGACAACAAATAGGAAAAATTCAATATCCTGTACAATCGGAGAGGAGCTGCAAAAAAAGAGAAGGGAAAAAAAAAAAAAAGGTTACTTACAATAATTAATGACAATCCTAATGGGTCAATAATAATCAAGAAATTTCACGATAGTCAAAAAAATAATAATATAAATATCTTGGAATGGGTTCTTAATCTTATTAAGGTATGTACAGTCGTGACTGATAGGGAGAGACAAGATTTCGAGAGAGAAATGAATGGTGGTTTTTTTTTTTTTTTTTTAATTTTTTAAGGGTGAGGTATAAAAAAAAAAATAAAAATAAAAAAAGAAGAAAGAAAAAGAAAAAGAAAAAAGTATTGAGGGGGAGGGGGGAAAAAAAACAATTTTTTGTTACCTTCGGGGCGTTAGGGATCGGAAGCCAGTGGAGTTGCGCTTCCGTGACTTGCAGCAAACAGGAACAGGAAACCCAAGCGCCTTGAAGGTACCTTAAAAGTACTAAGAATCCTGTACCAAGTACCTACATATGTAGGTATGGTGTATATAGACATACATATGCATCTGGCATATTAGTTGATCGAATTATTTGTTTATTATTCTTTTTTCCTTTTCCTTTTTTCTTTTTCTATGCGCCTTTTTCTATCTTTTCTTGTTTCCGAGCTCTTCTCTGATCTATAGAAAATTTCTGTCTGGTAATGTGTCTATACTTTGCCCTCTCCACTTCACTCACCCCAGGACCCATCGACACTAATCAATCCCTGTACCTGAACACATTCCTGTCTAGGATTCCACCTTTGCCGTCCATCCCCATACGAGAAATTACTATGGACTACAGCGCAGAGTACTGTAATCTCACTGTCCAGAAGAATAGCCAACACTGTCAGTCAGTGCTTTGGAATCTTAACCTTGAAGTCTTAATCTGTCGCAGTGGAGAAAAGTTCACTAATTGAGTTTTGCTTTCCGTGTATAACACTATTGACCTATACGACATATAGAGTAATTAGTCTAGTCCTAATGATTTGTGATTTTTTACCTTTTTTTTTTTTTTTTTTTTTTTTTTTTTTTTTTTTTTCCTTTTTCCCTTTTCCCCATCAAGAATTTGGTTCTCCATGGATATCATCTTATGGTCTAGCGCTTTCATCCGGATACAAACACATTTTACGCTTGGACTGGTCGGGACTGAATGACCCCCAAAGTTAATTCCAGTTACCTAAGTCAGGATAACAACAATAAAAATTGACAAAGACAAAGAATCCTGCCAAGTTTCGAAAGACATGCAATATGTTTCTCAGTAAGACAATGGATTCGGACGATCATCTTCCGATGAATTCCTTTCCCCGGGCGTAAGAGGACGATGTACATATGCAAGAGAGAGAGAGAAAGAGAGAGAGAGGAGGGGGGGGGGGTGATATTCAAAGTGCAGTACAAGATGTGGACGCAAGGGGAATTGCTCCATCGGGTAAGTAGTAGGTAGATACCGACTTGGGACTGGGTCGGAGCCACATGCTGGACATAGCTAGAGTGATTAGTGTCCTTAGTTAGTCAGTTAGTTGAGTCTGGAGTAAAGTGTGCAGTCGGTCTTGGCTAAATGGTCATTGTACCCTTTTGCTTTTTTCTTTTTTCTTTTCCTTCTGGTATGGACCAAGTACATACGTATTGCTTGTTGGCAATAGTAATCCTGCCAAAAAGAAGAATTTTACATAAATAAAAAGAATGAAAGAGGAAAATTAAACTACGTGAGAGAGAGAAAAAAGAATTAAATAAAAATAATTTCTTACCAAGCGATGCAGCTGTTTCGAGTTCCCTTCAACTATTCTACCCCCTGTTCCAGTTACACTGCAACCGAACCCAACCAAACCAAATCAATCTTGCCACTCATCGGGAGGACAGGGAGGGGGGAGTGCGGTGGATTCTTGGGTCTCCGATTTGATGCTGCACACGCAACGGTGATGACGGAACTCCTTCACCCTCTTTCTTGGTAATTAATTAATTTTTCTACTGTTAGCTAATAAATCGGTGCTTGCGGCGGCTATCAAGGCCAAGGAAAGTTGGGAATGATTCACAGTTTAACCTTGTTTCACAGACCAACTGCGTGATTGACAGTTTGAGGTATACTTAATAGTATCCCTCTAGAGTATGTGACTAGTACTATGTCAGTTAAGCCGGATTTTTCTATAACAAACTGTCATATGCAGGTATTGTCCTCCTTGATTGTGGTTTCGTCTACTACTAGTCGTCAGGAGTCTTACATTTGCCTCGTGTGCTGCAATCATTCAATGTTATTGGTCACCTCACCCTCCCTTGTTGGTTGGATGAATCATGGATCATACCAGGATGGCCCACAGGTTCATCCATCACTGATAACGGAGGCCACGCTACAACCGAGCTCCACTAGTAGTAGGTACGGAGTCCAGGGAGGTTTTATCTAGATTCTTTAAGACTTACATTGTACCTCTCTCGGTACGGAATCGGTCACCGTGGAAGTGAGGCAAAATATACATGAAAATAAAAATAAAAATAAAAATTCATCATCAACTGTGACGCATTCATAGATCCCCGTAGTAGGGATGGAACCACACTTTCTCTTCTCTGCTTTTTCATAAGGGAAGGACGGGAAGCTTTAGACCGCTCATACAAGGAACCCTTAGCGCCCAGACTCATGTCTGGTACCTGCATCGAATTAAATCATTCAATCCGCTCGCCCGCTGCATCTGCCCCAATGCGGCTTAGTTGATTGAATGTACTAACTTGATCGGTATTTTGCATTCAAAATCCCCTATCACCCTAATCAATTCTGGGATTGATTTTTTTTTTTTTTCTCTTTCTCTTTTTCCTTTTTCCCTACCGGGGAGAATAGGATTGTTAATACATGGATAGGTATACTGAGTGAGTACTACTTACTACCTTGTTAGAATTAAAGGGAGGATAATCAGTTCATACGACGCCATCAAAACCCCGACCACCATCATCCGCTTCCAATCACGCCGGTTGTCTCAAAAAGGAGACCGACAATCCATTACATCATGGACTCTTGTTCCTGAGAGACTAAAGGCTACTAGCGTCCATGCACGTAAATTGTCAACCGCACAGATGTTTCAGGAGTCAGGTGGTTAGAAGATGGAAATCCAACGGGGATTAAACCCGGTCAATTTACTCAAAGTCCGGGGTACATACGCAACAGTGGTCAGCTGTTCATTGAACATTCTCCTGTCAGACTTTAGCTTGGATTCCATAGTCGGGACTATCTTTTCCCTGTTTCTCTCAGATCGGCCTCTGTCCGGCTTCTACCGCAGTGGCATCCTCTAAGCTAAAGTAGACCTCCGTGTTTGTACATACTCCGTATCCACCGTCATACTAAAGAGTACAGTGATAGAATAATTCGCATGCAAGCTGGGTGAGCACAGACTGCTCCAGACCACACGAACCTCACCCGTGGAACATCTCGTATCCCACACACCCACACACACACACACCCACACTCCCTCCCCTCCACCACGACGGTATTAAAATGCATGAATCATGACTCTACATACTCCATACTATGAGTGGTACCTGGATGGATCAAGTCTCGGGAGTACGGGACCCTTGCTCTGATAGGATACCAGATCCATGGCAAAAGAGACGATCGTGACACAGGCCCTTCTTGGATCCTTTCAGCAGAAACAACGATTTATAAGCTCTTTTATCTCACCACCCCTCCCCAAACTAACGGAAAGAAAGGGTAAGCACAACATCTAGACCAATCGACCATTTGAGGCATTATTCCAAATCACACACCGCATCTTCTTGTCCATCGTGCAGAACCCACGGACCTCCTCCCCGTAGCAAATGCCTGAACGGGTCTTCCACCCAGCAATCTCTCCACTCAGGTTAGGGACATGCCGATTGGCCTCTGTCTGGTGTCGGGGGATAGCTTAATTGCTCATCAATTGCACACACCGGAGAAGCTAGTCATCACAAGAGTCTCCACCCACGGGACCCCGGGGCTGACACCCCCTGTAATGCAGGTTAAGTCTAAATTAACGGCGTTGAGTGCATCAGGGATTAAGTACTGATAAGCTAGTCTTCGTCAACGGTCTCGATTATGGTTACGCTACTCATACTACGTAACGGGCACATTTTTTTCTTAAGAGTAGAAACCTGAAGGGCAAACGGGAGGTGTAACTAATCGCCTTCTGACGGGACGGGTAGCTTTTCGATTGCCAACGAGGTCATTTAGAGTCAGGAAGGAGTTGTTAGGCATCAATAAGTGTCCCTATAGTTGAACTCTTATAGTATACTTTCCGTTATTCCAAGGGAAAGACACTTCGTGTTACGATCCGCTTCGGCGTCACCGAGATTGCCAACTTCTACCGTCTAAGCCCTATGCGGCCTCAACCTACTACTCATGGTGTACCGTACCTATATTGGTCCCCATTATCGCTTTCCCTTGGGCATCATCCTTCACAGAACTCAATTGATCCTCCATGCCTAGATACAAATACGGTATAGGCGCGCCGCGTCAACATTTTTGTGTCGGGCGTCTAGAGTTTTCGAGTGAGTTGAGCAGAGCTTCTAGGCAACACTGACCAACATTCGACCTGACAGGGCCTCGCGCCCGATAGCTCCTATGCGCGGTATATTTCTAACTGGGGAGCTCTAGACTTAATATCCTTCGTTATCGATAGTGAAGATCGCCGTTTGCCCACAGATCGGGTCCGGTCTGTTCAACTTAAACATAAAGGAGAATGCTAGTTCAACGCTCGCACATAGTTTTCTTTGTAAGGATTTCTTTATAGACTTCACCGGAGTTCTGGACTGGTCGAACACAAAAACTACTTGAGGTCTTCTAGAAAGAAAAGCTCAACCCTGAATTGATCAATAACCATAAAGAACAACTGAAAGAAGCTCCCATGATATTAAGGCCTCCACAGGAGGCCATACCACGAAATAGCCCTACATCGATAGCTCTGAGCTCGACCATAGGAAGGG